CCCCAAAACCCCAAAACCCCAAAACCCCAAAACCCCAAATTTATTAACATCAATTGAATAAATAGCAATGGACGCGAGCCTCATTACATCTCAAATGAACGAAAGATTTGAATGCCTTCGGGAGCAGATCTTTGCAGAAGTGAGATCAATGACACAAGGGTGAGTATTGAACCTCTAACACTCCATCCTGTCAAATTTCATCATTTTACTGCTAACACTAAGATTTCTCATTATCTCTTTGATTCTTGAAGCCGATTAGTTTTTATAATCATACTTTTCAGTTGCGTATTTCTTTTCATTTTCACTAAGTTGCGGTCTATATTCCCTTCTAGAATACAAATGAGAGTTGATACTATAAACGATAAAACAAGGAAGAGTGTTCTATTATCAGAACTAATTGAACAATCTCAGTTTGATATCGAGGAGGGGAATTTACTCAAAACCTTAATCAGACTCTGAAACCAAACTTTTGAGAAGACCATTTCTTCCATCCAAATAGAGTTAGGTAAGCCTACAGATTTTTGGTAAACTTCTTTGATAAATTGTTAATAACGTATGTCTAGATGATCACCGAATAAGACTTGATGATTCGGCTAAGAACCAAGAGAAGAAAATCGATGGAGTCCTGAGTGATTATGAAAGATTAGAGAATAAAATTAAAGACCAAGAATGGGCGACCAAGCTTCATTCTGAAGTACTCTCATCAAAGGCAGAAACGGCAAGTGTAAAATAAAAGTAATGTTCTTCGTTCAAATTATAGTTGAAAACATGCTGCATTATTACTGTGAAATGGAAAAATTCAAGGATTTTGAATGCTCTGTTTACAAAGAATTCTCAGCGTTAAAAGACGAAATGGTTCAACATAATCGTGATACCTCCCAAGAAATGGCTTACTTTGCTAAGAAGTTTGAAGATTCTCTATTTGAGAAGCAAAGAGACATTATTACATCTGTAAATAAGCGCTTAGAATCTTTTACTGAGCTAAAAACATACCATGAGCAAGTTGGAGCGATAAAAGCTGAGATAGAAGTTATCCTTGCCAAAATACAACTAGCTTCAGAAGACCTTAAAGAGATCAAAACAATTTCTGATTCCATAGACTGAAAGCTTAAGGACAAGGTCGAAAATAATGACTTTGTAGAAAAAATTGATGAAATCCAAAAGCAATTCCAAAAATACGCTCTATATTCCGAAATCAAAAGAGTTGAATTAAAAATTGGTATGGCCTATTACTGACCTTTAGACCCTATCATTGATGACATCAACAAGAAATTGGAATATTACGAAAGTGACAATAAAATGAACAAACACATAATTAGTCGTTTTGATGAAGTCCTGACCAGTAAGGCATCCAAGTTCTCCATCGACCAAATCTACCTAAATTTTGCTGAATATATGAGCAATGAATCTTTCAAAAAGTTTGAGCAAAGTCTGAAAAATGATACTCAGACTACACACAAGAAGATAAACGATATGGAATCAGACTTAGAGAGCATGAAGGATTATCTTAGGGAGGAAGTCAAGAAATCAATGAGAAGAGCTCTAGGAAATCTAAACTCTCATATTATCAATCTTGCTGGCGGAAGGCCGATTAATGATATCGAGTTTGAAGCATGCCTAAGGCTTAAAGCAGACAAGGAAGAAACAGATAAACTTGATTATAATAAAGCTAACAAGGAGGAAATGACGAGCACTCTTGAGAAAATTAAGAAGCTTGAGACTCAACTTAAAGACGCCACTGTACTTTTTATGGAATGTGTAAAAGATAATATCTTCTTGCAAAATGAAAATAAACATAAAGTGATCAACCGGAATGCATCTTTGTTCCAGCAGCTGAAGACTATTCATAAGTGGATCAACCAAGATGAGAAGACGCATCCTAAAATTATTGTGCAGAGAAAGCAAGGAAGAGAGAAAAGCATGGTGTTGCCAGAAACAGCAAGTAAATTATTAAGACGTAAAAGGAAGCGCAATTTAGTGCTAAAGGTAACATCTAATTTTAGGAATGAATATATTTTACTCCCAATTTCAGACTATAACCTTATTTAGAGCCCTGATCCAATAAGACCTGCTCGTATTCTTCCCAGTACTTATGGTAAGCAAAGAATTTATCCAGAATCCTTATATTTTCTTTTAGAAGAATCTTCAACAATGGAAACGAAGGTTAGCTTAAAAAATTCTTCCAGAAATTTGGACAAGTACCGCAAATATAGAATTTGCAGTCCACCTAAAGGTAAGTTTCTCAAGAGCTTTCTCAACAAATAGATGGCTTTTGAAATCCAAACAGCATGCCTATTGAAATCCAAAAATTGAGTTTACTTAGAACTTTAGAAAAGAAGTATGTCCGATTCCTCTGCGAAGAACTTTTAGACATTGGATTGTGGGGATAACAGAATTAGGATAGGGAGACTTAATATTTTTTAACTATTGATTAGTAAACTCCAAACTTTTTAGCACTGTAAGTATTTGTCAGAGTTTTTATCCTCGCTTGCTTGACTGCTCTGAATAAAAATGTTGTAAAATGTTTGGGCTCCACCAAACTCTATAACTCTAGTGTAAAAACTGTATTCCAATTTTTTAGGGAAACTAGATATTAATAAAGTGTGTTTTATCATATCTTAGAGGTTTAAAAGTAGGTCTAACAACCTGAAGGAAGACCTTATTTTTTGAAAAACTGGTCTTCTAGAATAGCTCTTTATTTTTACACCCTTTGAGAAATTCTTAGAAACTGTTCACCGAAATTTTGTTATAGAAGCAGAACTTTTTCTCCAATGCACGTAAGTGATAAGAAGTTGTTTCTTGATGGTCCAGGGAGTGCTACGCACCCAAAGAAGTTTGGTAGGATCATTATCAAGAACAAAAAAGCTCCTCCAAACTCCTCTCTGGATGAATTTTAATATAAGTTTAAGTTATAATTACGAGAGAGTTGTATAATTCCATGTTTGCAGGGTAGTAAAACCTCAAATTTTGTATCTTTAAACTCAATTCTAAGAGTAAAAACATACCTAATTATTATTCCAAGACATCTGGCTAATAGTGAGGGAAGAACACCAGCTTGTTTAAATCAGGATTTTACCATTTTATAACCGATTTTTACTCTAAACACCCTTTAAATTTTTCAATTAAGTTGCCAAATATTGGGGTTTTGGGGTTTTGGGGTTTTGGGGTTTTGGGG